GTCCATCAATGTGTTCTCAGACATGTTCTGAACAATTTTTGGCCCAAAAGAAAAAACAAAAAGATTTTTAAGCCCAGAACACGTTCTGGTTTGAGAGTTTTCAGAACACTTGAGAACGCCATACGTGCCACGTTATTATTGGTTTGAATTAAAAAAAAAAAATTTGAAGCTCAAAAGCGCAAAAAAAAAGTCTCCTGTCGTCTCTCTCTCTCTCGATCACGAAGGTTGATCTCGATCACGAAGGAGAATCCATGGTCAGAGGAATTAAAAGGATAAAGAAGGTGGTCTCTCTCGTCTCGGTTTGTCTCTGTTCGGCATCTCTTTGTCTTCCCGATTCCGATGGCCGATTCTAGGAGACGAGATGATTCCGGAGACGATCACGATGGCGAGGATGATGTGTCGGGTTCTCGATCTAACGGTTTGAATCAAATTAATCTCTCTCTTTGAGTTTTGTGATTATGAGTTTTGGTGATTCTAATTTGATTTCCTTTGTTGTATTGAATAGCATTTCGAGCCGGCTGAAATTGGTATGTTGGCTAGATGTTTTTGCGTACCTTTGGTTTCAGTTCGCGTTGGGAAGATCAAGAAAGAAGGGACCTTAATGCGTCCCACTACCGTAAGGTAATCAACGATGTTTTCATGAGTCATGTCTTTGTTTTTCTGTCATTGTTTGAGCTTTTGGACAATCATGTCAAGTTTGCTATTTCATTGTTGTCTTTTAGAGACTTGTGAAGATGATGATTGTCTGTTGATGTTAGGGTAACATAAAAGAGAATGCTAATTAAGGGTTTCTGTGCAATCTGTCATTGATTACTCCCTTTTATAAGAATGCTTACTTGCAGGCTGATTATCTAAAGGCTGGAAAGTTGCAATTTTTATTAGGATTTTCGAAGGTTTATTTTGTGTATTGATTACTATATATGTGGAAATCTATTTCAGAGAGAAATATGGCGAGTACATTAGATGTATCAAGAGCCGAGCTTGCTCTTGTGGTAATGTATTTGAACAAAGCAGATGCAAGGGATAAGTTATGCAGAGCAATACAGTATGGTTCCAAGTTCTTGAGTGGTGGACAACCTGGTACTGCTCAAATTGTTGACAAAAACACTAGCTTAGCTAGGAAAGTCTTTCGTCTTTCCAAGGTTAATCTCCTTTTTTCTTGTCTCCAATATATGTTTGTTTTGTTTCCCTAGGAGTGAAGCAGGAGAAGAAGTAAAAGCAAATGCAGATATGCATCAAGGTTAGTA